AGCGCTTTAAAGGTGATCACCAACACCTTGAAGCGCACCCGGAAGTCCACCGGAAGCCAATGCAGCTCGCGCAGGAGAGGAGTCACATGGGAGCACCCCGTCACTCCCATAATCCCCCGCGCGGCCGCATTCTGCACCAGTTGGAGCCTCCGGGTGCACCCCATATAACTTGTCTTCATAATTAAACCCAATTGCCATTTCATATTTCATCTGCTATTCTGTTTTGAATGTTTTGATGATATACATCATCATATTTTCTTACATTAAAACTCTTTAACTTAATTGACCATCCACAATTAATAATATTAATACAGTTCCCTTAAATGTACTAATATATACCTTATTTCCCTTCCTCCTTTCCACTATTCTTCCCCTCTTTAACCATTTTTTCTTGGTCTCTCCAAAATTCTACTTCTTAATAATTTACTCCTTTCATCCCATTCTTTTAACTACTTCTTTTTCTTTTTTTTTTCTTTTTGTATTTGTTATATCTTTTCTCCTGAATCCTTTTTCTCACTTTTAGATATATTACTCGAGTAATTCTCCCCAAGCATTCTCCTAGTCTCTTTCCACTATTTTCTTCTTTTCCCTTTGATTGATTCTTTTTCAGGGAATATTCCCATCTATCCACTCTTTTTTTTGCCACTATTAATCCCAGTGAAATCATCTAATTGCTTTTTGCATTCAATTCCTTTTCTTTCAATATTATTTTCTTGCTCCTCATTTATGCTCTTTTTCTGTTCTGTGTGTTCCAGCAAAATTTCTGACTTTTATTACCCTTTAGTGATTCACACATTTTTAAACATCTCAATTAATTCCTCACACATCCAAGACTCCATATTGTCAATTTAAAAAATTGTTAAAGCTTTTGATTTATATTTAATTAAAATTTTAAAGTCCATATAGTCTCTTTTTAATTCCAAATAGTATCCAATTCAAATATTTATCCAGTCCACTCCAAATTGAAGTGGACTGGATATCTTATCTTCCACCACCATTGAAAGTTGGAACCAAGCAGTTCAAAAAAAAAAACAAGCACTCCTTAAAAATTCTCAGTTTGCGGGTTATCTTTTATTAGACAAAGTCACAGCTATTATTTTTTCTTCTATCTTCCAAACAATATTGCAGTATTCTCTTTCCACCAGCAGATGTCTCTCTCAAATCCACAATATTCTCAGACCAATTAAGTATCAAAGCTGTCAAAAATATTTTAAATCCACATAAAGTATACTTTTCCTCGGATTTCTTTTTGTTTTATTATTTTTAGTTTCTCCAACTTCAATTTTAAATCCACTTATAAAATTTTCTTTCTTGGGCTTTAGTATTTTAACTTCCTCTTTGTTCTTCTCCTTCAAATGTCAAAACTATGAAAAATATTTTTAATCCACTTAAAAAGTACTTTCCCTGAGGTTTCTTTTACTTTTATTATTTTTAATTTCTCCAAATCCAATTTTAAATCCAGTTGTAAAATTTTCTTTCTTGGGCTTTGGTATTTTAACCTCCTCTTTGTTCTTCTCCCTCCATTTACTTTCCCAAGTGCCAATTAGCTACTCATGTCCGCTCTGGGACACCTTTTAAAGTTATTAAAATTTTTCTTTTTTACCTGTGAGTTAGCCAATCATTCACCCAGTACCAGCACTCCATTCAGACACCATTCCTGCACAAAAATCTTGGTCCTGTTGCCCCAGCTTCAGAGCGGTCATTTTTCAATGGCCACCACTCCCACCGCCGGTTCAAAGAGCAGCCTCTGACCTTTCGAGGAACTTGCCTGTTCCTCTTGGTCATCTGAGGCACCTCTCCTTCTTCACTGTCCCTACAGAATGGTTCCAGTCCGAAGACCCCCCCAACAGCGGTTTGTCTGGCTGGATTTTCGTGGAGCTCATTGGAGCCCACTATTTTTCAAGATGGTCTCATCATAGCATTTCCAGTTATTCTCCTTTCAAACCAACTCTTTGCTGTTAATTCTGAATTTAAAAAATATTAAACTCATCCTTAAAATTTCTTTCAGAAAGGATTGAAAGATACTTTAGAAGACACTCAAGATTTGGAAAGATCTTGACATAGAGAAATGAGCCCTATCAAAATGCAGTTCAGTAGTGGAAAAAGTGAGGTCCTATACTTAGGCAGCAAAAGCCAAATGCACAAGTATAGAAGAAGTACCTGGCTCAACAATAGTAGCTGTTCGAAAGGGTTAAGTGTCCTAGTGGATCATCAGCATGAGCTTGCACTGTGTCACAAATGCCAAAAAAGCCAATACAGTTTTGAGCTGCATTAACAGAGGGCTATCATCAAGATCATGAGAAGTGATAATACAACTCTATACTCTACTAGTGGGGCCAGACTTGGAATTCCAAGACCAGTTTTGGTTCTGTGACATGTTAGCTGTCTTTCAGTACTTGAAGAACATTAATAGAGACAAGAGGGTTGATGTATTCTCCAAAGCACCTGAAAGCAGGACAAGAAGCAACAGGTAGAAGTTCATTAAACGACCCTCCATGGAATTAAGGAGAAATTGTTGTGGGTACTGCATTGCTGGTGGTTTTTAAGAAAAGATTAGATAGCTGTCTGGAGTGATGTAAGTTTTCCTGCCTTGGACAGGAAGTCAGGTTAGAAAGTCTCTAAGGTCCCTTCCAACCCTATGATTCTATAATTTCAGCTGTAACATCCCTGCTTCTTCAGATACATCTTTAGTTTGTAATGACCTCACTGGAAGTCAGCAAAAATCAATTTTCTCACCCTTAACTTTTATTCTTTAATTTCAGAATTTTTTTTCAAACCAATTTTAATTTACATGAATTGGTAAGTCATCAATCTCAATTGAAATAGCTGCCAGTTTTCAGTTAACTGGCAGACAATTAGAACTGAGGAAACCAAAAATTTTAAACACAAAGTACAATATTGTTACAGACATATAATTAAAATAAAGTACAAGCAAAATAAAACATATTTTCAAAATTGCATTCAAATTGATGAAATCACAAGTGATGGATTTGGTGGACGAATAATGCAAATAAATTCCTGTGGCATTGCTCTCATGAAAAATGTACTTGAAATACAAGTAAAAACTGAGAATCAACAAATTCAGAATTTTGTAAAATTGGGAGTCTAGTACATAAATGAATTCTGCCCATCCATACATGAGGCAAAACTTGTAATTGACTAAAGATGAAATCTTATTTTGTTTAAACATAAAAACTCTCTTATCACTAATGACTATATGGACACAAACCACATTCTTTTTTGGCAGCAATAGGAAATGGTTTACTGCTGTCTTCTCCCAGGATATTTTTCAATTGCCTAGTCCCGTGACGGTGAATCTATGGCACGGGTGCCAGAGGTGGCAGCCAGCGCTCTCCCTGTGGGCACATGAGCTATCACTCCAGTTCAGCTCTGCTGCGCATGTGCACGCGCCTCCCGCTAGCCAGCTGGTCTTTGGGTCTCTGCCGCGCTTGCATGGGGGGCAGGGCACATCTGGAGGACTATGCACATCTGCAGGAGGTGCATATACATGTGCGGGGGAGGTGAGCACGTGGGGGGCACGTGGGGGGGCCGCACACACATTGCATTTTAGGGGTTCGGGCATGCATGCTTTGGACACTTAGTCCCGTAAAGGCAGTGGTGGGATTCAGCCAGTTTGCACCACTTCGGAGAACCGGTTGTTAACTTTCTGAGCAGTTTGGTGAACTGGTTGTTGGAAGAACTCATTAGGGCAGAGAACCGGTTGTTAAATTACCTGAATCCCACCACTAGGTAAAGGTTAGTCATCACTGGCCTAGTCTAATTTACAAGCCCTGGCACTCTCTGTTAAATCTTCTCTTCAAGTTCAAGTGGAAAGTAAATCCTAATGCTTTAAACATATGATTCAGTTTTAAGGACTGTAGCTTTAAACACCTTTCCAAATGCTCCTATATATATTTCCAAGTAAATTTCTATAAAACTAAGCTATCGGGGTAGATTCATCAAGCTCTTAAATATTCCAGAAAAATGAGCTCAAATCTGTGCTTTAACACTTGGCAGATCGCCATTTTCCTTTGCAACCCTCAAATTTCTATATGTGGAGACCATGAAAAAAAAAACCTGAAATACAAAATATGATATAATCTATGATGAGCAGCTCAGGAAAGCTAGATTGTGAATTTATCCATACTTTGACAGATAGATGAAGAGTTCTACATTCTACTGTAACCAAAAAAAAAACAAAAAACAACCCCTCATTAAATCCCTGTCAAAAATAATCATACAATGCTTCTTGGTATATTTAGAAGCACTTGAGCCTGCCTTTTTTACTGTGATGAAGAGGTAAGAAACACATTTAAAAGGAGACTCCTACAGGGGAATAATGCAAACAAACTCACCTCCATTTAAGTTTCACTCTGCCCAAGAGGATCTGTCGCCAAGAGGCGACTTCGTCGCTGCTATTCCGCCAAGTAGTATTTCCAGGCGGTGGGCAATAACGGACCCAAAAATTATTCCAGAATCAGCTGTCTCCAAAATTTGTAAACGCCAGGACTAAACATAGGTTTCCCCTCACAGGTCGTGTCTCGCTCTCTCAAATGCCATGGGGACTTGGGGAGCGCAACGACTCAGAGAGAAAGAGAGAGACGGAAGACGACCGATCACCTCCCATTAACTAGGATCGGCTCAGAAAGGGTGCTGCACACCTACACTGGCTCCTTCGGTACCATCCGAACATCACTGTCCCCGACAAGGCGCTTGCCCAGGCCTCACCGTTAACTCAGATTCCTTTTCTTCAGAGCCACTTCTCCTTAGGTGGCAGCCACTTGCTTCTCGACCAGAGGGCGGGAGAGACGTTGACGGTCCCACCTTAAGCAGCACGTTTGTCAGCTCCGACAGCTCATCGCCTTGAGAGCAAACTCACCGTTTTCAGAGTCACTGAACCCAACCTGCAACGCCTCCTGGCCGCTTGAGAGAACGTCTAATTCCCGCCCACAATGACCGGATGTGCTGGTCACGTGATCCATCTCGAGCGGCTGTCTCTGAAGAGGGCGAAAGTTGGGAGAGCCGGCAGCCCGAGCTGCAGATTCGTGAGAGCGTATCATAAGGGATCCTATCCGATCCTACATTGACTATCTTAGGCTAAAACTACACCAAAGAGAACTGCTTAATAGAAGAAAAGTATTTATTTTCCCTCCATTATTGAAGATTACACTATTTGAACCATCCTGAAGACGGTTTCTTTTAATTACATGGGCACGTACAGGATTCCAAAACTAGATTTATCGGATGAAATTCGAAAGCGCCAACTTCTTATGAAGCTTTGTTTCATTCGGCAGGAACAAAATAATAAGAACATCCCGCATTGCCTAGGATACTAGCGGCGAAAGCCAAGGGCGAGTTTACGTGGCATCGCTCGAGTCACTCGAGGAACAAAGCCAGAGTTTTCCAGCGGTAATCAGATTGGTTGTATTAAAGAAAAGGGCGTAGCTAGCAAATACATAAATAGAGTACTACTAAGCTTATCCTCCCTCTTCCCGCGAACACTTGGAGTGCCTGTTTTTTTGTCTAGTTGTGCGCCGTTCAATCATCCACATGAGGTTGGTTTTAGAGGCGACGATTTCATGCTAAACAAATGCTAAATTATAATTGCAGAGTTGGAAGAGGTTTTTATGCTTTCCTCCTTGCTCAGTGCAGGAAATGCAAATTAAAATACTGTATCTTAGGCAGGAAAAGATCAAAGAATACGGGATAGATCCAGAAGAAGATGGACATCGAAGACACATCAAAGACAACACCAGCGTTAAATAACACTGGTTGAAGAGCGAGAACCAGAATTTTCCGGGTTCTTGACACCCGAAGTGTAAAGTGGAAGTAAAGATGTCAGACAGATGGCTCTTGTGCACTGATGATGCTACCTAGTTTGGATAACAAAACATCTTCAAGAAAACAATCTCAGAGAGTATTAAGGATTTGTAATTTAAACCCTAAGATACAAATATTCTCTTTTATCAGATGGCTCTCTAACTCTGCCTGTGGACTCAAAATGAAAAAAAAATCCCCCAAATATCCTGGGGGATATTTTTTTCAGATTTTTCTGCAGTCATGCTGCTCTATAAAAACTTCTACATTCTATCTATTAACTAACCTATTCAAATTCAAATACATCTTATTTTTGTTTTCTGGCCTGTTATTCATTTTTTATTTGGTTTTTTTAAAATTAAGTTTATATGCCACCTGTCTTTCAGTTATATAACGCTGGGTGGTTTTTTGTACCCATGTTTTGACACTTGCAGATCTGAAAAAAAATTCCTCTTTTTATCCAAGTAATAAATTACTGAAAAAGTTTATCTTTTATATCTAATGAGGAACCAATGATGAATACTCACTACTGTTTTCATACATTCACTCCATATTACTCAGTCCATACTTAATTAGCATTCTATTAGCAATTATCATCATTGGGTTAAATGTTTTGCTAATGTCAATATATATTATCTCTGCAGCACTCCTACAAACTATTGGTCTCATGAAGAGCCAGAACCTGCCCTTCTGGCTGGTATGCCACCACTCCAGTGGAGGAAAAAGATGTCAAAGAGCAGCAGTGGAGGGGAGGATCAAAAGGGCAGAAGGAGGGAGAGATAGGCATATGGGAAAATGGAAGTAGCACAGAAGAACAGCAGAAGTGTGATGTCATTGCTTAATGACCACTTAGTCATGACCTAACAACCAGGATCTTTCTGGACACTAAGGTCAGTTAGCTTTTGAGGCATTAAGGCACTCTCTGATACAATAAATTATAAATCTGCCTAAGATAAACTTGTGTTTGCTCTGCAAAATCATAAGCATCTTTGCTGTATAATCTTGTGTTTATTATATGAGTGCTGAGTTTTCTTTGATTATCACCATTTTTTAAGCTCACTTTGCCAGTATATGAGTCATCTGAAGTCTTGGCAAGTCTGGGGGTCAACTGATGATAAAAGAAGGTTGTTTAAAGCTGTTAGACATATCTGGTTATTAATAGAAAAGTAATTAAATTTTGACTTGGAATTTTGAGACAATGCTAGCACTTTCTTAGAGAGTGAAGAAAGTTAATACCCACCCCTCCTAGAAGAATGAAATATTAAAAGGGCAGAATATTATATTTCCCTGGATGAGAAAAGGAGAAACATGTTTTAAAGGTAAAGCAGCTCCATGCATCTCCCTGCGTCCCCTTCAGCTCCAGGGTGATGGGATTAAAACATGGCCCTCAGGACATGATAGGATTAGCCCTCTATCAATCTAACAACAGAACTCACTACTTGGCACCTGGGGAGATTGCATCACTCAGCAGGATTCAACCAAGTCTGGGACTCAAGACAACCTACAAAGTTACCCCTACATGACTCCATGGGAGCCTGACAACCAATCAGAATACATTCCTTACACAGGAACAGGAAGCTCCAAGATGGGTATAAATCTCTCTCTCACCCATGTGAACCTCAAACCATGTGCTCCTGTCCACCATTAAACCATCTTTCCAAACAGCCTCCATGTTTCCAGTTTCTTTCTTCCCACTTGAAATTGAACCCAGACGGACAATTCTTCCAACAAGAGTAATTCTAGATTGAAAATAGAGATAATTTTTAATTGGAATTCTTGGACAAGAGATTAATACCTTGAACTAATTGATTAATAATACCACTTTTAGATATTTTGATACATTACTTTTGAATATAAATTACATGAATCATCTGTTTGGTAGTATTACAGTTAAAGCCTAAATCATTAAACAGCAGGATCAAACGTTTTAGCAGCAATTTGATGTTTAAGAAATATTGTATTTGAAGTAAAAATTGCAATCTAATTTTACATAAAACTAAAAAAATAGGAAGAAGGTTAATACTGATAATGTATACTTGGAGTAAGGAATTGGAATATCCAGTTTTGAATAGCAAACAAGACCTTATTTTAAGAAATTAAATTATTCTTATGATCTAGAGATGAAATTAATTCATCAGAAAATTATGGACTTTTCAAAGAAGGTTTAAGGGATGTTGGATATTGTATTATTTATGTTGACATTGATTTGAATTATTTGATCAGATGTTATTGGGTCTTTAAATGATAAATTAATGCAACTGGAGAAAAATACAACAGCAAAATATAAATGTGATTTTTACATATTTAAAAATATGGAACTTGATATTTTACGGAGAACTCTGGCTTTAACGAAACTTATTCACAAAGAATTATTTTACATAGTTGGAAAGATATTTACATTCCCAAATAGTTTTTATTTTATTGAAATTTTATTTTTTGAAATGTCTGTATTTTATAAAAATGGGAAGACTGCAGTGTATGATCTAGTTTTAATATGTTACAAGATTGAGCTATTTTTACATTATCATATCATATGGAGCCTTTTTCTTCAGTTTTTGTTCATTTTAATCACTCTGAACTTTCCTTTCTGATTATATTAATTACTGTATTTTTATTCCTATATTTAGGTTTAATTATTATTTGTATTCCATTATAAATTATCAAATTAAAAAGAAGGAAATTGGGTGAAAAAGTTTGATGATTATTAGATGGCAGCAGAGATCATTTACTTGTTGCTTCCAATGGCTATCTGGATTTTAATGACTCGGATCTGTAAATACAAGTAGTCCTCAACTTACAACCACAATTTGAGCCCAAAATTTATGATGCTAAGAGAAACATATGCTAAGTGAGTATTGTCCCATTTTATGATCTTTCTTGCTACAATTGTTCCGTGAATTGTCGCAGTTGTTAAGTTAGAGACATGGTTGTTAAGTGAATCTGGCTTCCCCATTGACTTTGCTTGTCAGGTCATAAAAACTGATCACATGACCCTGGCTCACTGCAACTGTCATAAATACGAATCACTTGCCAAGTGTCTTAATTTGGTCATGTGACTGTGGAGATGCTGGAAAGGTTATAACTGAAAAACGGTAACATTACTTTTTCAGTGTCATTGCAACTTTGAACAGTCACTAAACAAACTGTTTGTAAGTTGACTACCTGTATAGAAGCTATCTCTGACTAAATAAGTGTTTAGTACATACAATCATATATCTCTGTGATGAAACCAGTGTTTCTGGAATAACAGCTCATGAAATCTCTGATACTTATAACAGTCTGCTTCATAAAATAACAAAACTGCTTAACTGATTAAGCATTTGCTGCATGAAATCACAATTTGCTACCATTGAACCGCTATTTGCAGTCTGAAACAGCGCCTGTCACGTAAACAGTGCTTACTGTATTAAAACACTAAACTAAGGTTTGATATATGAAATTGAAAGTCTGCTATTTAAATTTAAATCACAGGTCTTGGTATAAAATAGGGAAGTCCATTCTGCTACAAAGAGCTACATTAGAGTTTAATGCATTAAATCACATAACTCTTCAAGTGCTTTGCCGCTAGTCCTTACTTGCGCTTTGTATAGCTAGACCGGAAAAAGTTCTAGAGCCAGCTAATACTTGGTGGCCTCGCCCCCTTTCCCGTATGCAACCAATCGGGAAACTAGAGTCTCTCTCTATGAAATTACCTCTGGGAAGCACCACCTAGTTTTCGCCTGAGTGACGTAATCGAAGGCGCCGCGTCTCCCTTTGGTTTCCGTCGCTCCTCTTTGGACATTTGGGAAAACGTGGTGTTTTATTTTGTTTTCGGCGAGGAAGGAAGTTTAACGAAAACCAGGCGTGTTCCGTCTTCCGGAACACACGCATTAATGGTAACCCATGTTTTTACGCGTAGCACAAACGATTTATATAACGTAGATAAATTTAGCGATGTTGCAGTATTCAGCAAAAGTGTGTAGGTTTTGTATACATATATGGCATGTGCTGCACTTAGCACTTGTGGATAATTTAGTTATAAGTATTGCTTGCTGTAAGGTGGTAACTCCATTTTCTATCGAAAGTTTCAGAAACAATAGAGAATAGAATGGACGAGTGGTGAGCATCCTTTTCTGATGGATAGAGCCAAACAGCCTCTTCTGATGTAGAGAGCTGGCGCCAGTGAAATAAGGCAGACGGAGTGTAGAGCCTGCTAACAGGCCTATAATTTGAGGTCAGCCTATCTAAAAGATCATGGCTTTATTTCAGTCCTCCCTGGATAAAAAGATCTTTCAATCCATTTTTATTATGGTCGCGGATCAACATTACAAATAAAAGCTTTAAAAACAATAATTAAAAATAAAAAACGGACAAAATAATATATTAACAATTAGTGTGAGTTATCAGTGGGCAATTAGAGTCTGCTTAATTTTGCATTTTAACAAAATTGGATCACATTCAAAAAAGCTATTTTGTATTGATCTGATAATAGTTGTACATAAAAAAGATCAGTATTTTCCAGTGTTTTATTTAAGTGAGGTGTTATAGAGTCTGTGAGTTCTTATAGAAGATACAGTATAGCAGATATGACCTGTAGTTTCGATGGCCCTTTGTCCACAGGGACGCAATCTCACCTCATATGCTATTTTTTTATGTTGGCCCTACAAAACTGTTGTGGGAAGTGCATTGAAGCATAGTAAGATTAATGATAATAATCTTCTGATTTTCAGGACAGTTATATAAGTATCTCACTGCTTTAAAAGGGGGTATTTGACTGCTCAAAAAAAAAAAAACATTCTTAGGGAGTGCAGCCTGATCTTGTTGGATTTCCAGATCTTTGATACCCTTAGTGCACTAAGTGCACTAACTCATACCCTATAATTAAAACAGTTTTCTGGAGAAAACAAAATATTGCAGTGTTTGTGAAATGGTCCTGAACCATATTTATTCGAAACTATTCTATAAGGAGGGAACTGAAACCTGTAGGGATAGAAAGATCTTTGATAAAGCTTAATACATTCCCATCACTTCAAAAGATATCTGATAACACAAGTGTAGGCCATCTCAGGGGCAATTGCAATACATTGGAACTTCCTGACAACCATGGGTTTCTATGCATTTGTGACGAAGGCACTTAAAAAAGAATATGACAAAAATATTGCAATTTACATACTTTTATAAGTCCGCAGACCTCAAATATCTAAGGAAAAAAATTGTATTATGATGTCATTAGTGTATGAATAGGATTTTTAGTGCTTGCCTCTTGTGCAGGCAGGAGAGGCAGGGAAACAAACATTTTCATATATTTTAGCATGCAGTATGGAATGCACTAGAATGTTTTAGCGCAGGGTTTTAGTGCAGCTTGTTACCTTCTCTGCTGGCTTCTGCAGCCTTTCAGGGTAGGCTGGCAGAGAAGATTGCAAATGGCAATCATATAATCTCAGAGACCTTGGCAACTGAGTAGAAGTGTAAACAGATTGCTAAACACCCAGATTGCAATCATATGACAGGGTTATGGGGTGTGAGTAATGTGTAGTTGGAAGTGTTTTACAAGCCATAAAGCACATTCTTTGTTTCTTCGGCTGTCCCAGCTTCACGGCAGCCATAATGGCTGCCTCTCCTTTTCTTCATTGGATAGAAGGGAATCCCTGGGTCCAGCTGGAGAGCTGCTGTTATCTTTGACCTACAGAGTCCCCCTCCTTTCTTCATCACCTCTACAGGGTCATGTCTTACAAATTACATTGGCTGGATTTATACAGCACACTAAGCCAAAACCAAATAAGCCACTTCATGATTTAGTAGATATGTCTGTTTTTACACATACCTGTTCAGGATAACTGGTTTAACAGTGAGCAAAACAATCCAATAATAATTTTGATAAAATTCTGAAACAAGTTTGGATTAAGGGTTGGATTTTATAAAACTGCATTTCCTTCTCCCTCAAATTGATGAATCCATTTTTTTCCAGAGTACCAATGCAGAAATACTGAATGAAAACAAAGCCATGACAATCAATACAAGCACAGGACCAATAGAAACTTCTGTCAAGCATTTTCCTTTTAAAGCTCCAAGATTTATTGTATGTATTTTTTCCATAAATGTGTTACATTTTCTTGAGACAAATAACCTTTTTTATCTATAGTAGTTTGGCTATGAAATGTGGAATGCATTCAAGTATTTGATTGTGTAATGCCATATTTCTCTTCCATTCTTCCTCTCCTCTGCTTTCAATTGTTTTCTTTCTAACCTCTCTGTCCTCTTCCTATTCTTTTAAAAATATTTTTCTTTCTTGCCTGATTTGTATTTGATATGCACAGTATGGCTACTAACTCCAATTAAAACTGTAATATTATTAAAATGATATTAACAATATTATATTTAAAATAAATAATATAAGAGGACAAGAATTTAAATGTGGATCCCAATAAAGTTATGTTGGAAACAAATATCTTCACTTAGTGTTAGATGGGGTTCTTGTATCCAAGTAATTTACAATATAAAGAACTTTACATTGAAGCTGATCAAAAACCAAAAGTCCCATGGATTTTAACCAATTTTTATCTTGGCTGTTGATAATTGTTGATTAACTATCATTATATAGGAATAATGCAAAAATGACCTTAGGGAAGATATAACAGCTCTTAAAAAGGGAATGAAGAAGCTGGTAAAAATACTGAGAAATAGGGAAACACAAGAGAAAGAAACTTAAAATAATCCTTTCTTGAACTGGAACAAATAGAAACTTGTATGGACTTTCAAGATTCTGTTATTTACTCATGTCTTGAGATACTGGATTAATTTGTTTGATGATCCATCCGTTTGTTTTGTTGGCTGTCTATATTTTCAGAAGAGCTTTTCAATTCAAAAAGTGAAAAGAGTGAATGCTCTTCCTATCCAGCTACTTCAAGTCCAAAGTGCTCTAGCCAACAGTATTTGAAAAACAAAATTAACAACATAACTGTATCAAGTTCTGGAAACCCATGAGCAACATTCCTAGTATTCTGTTTCACCATTTTATTTTCTGTTAAGAAGACAGTTTCCAGAATGCTTTCCATAGGTTTTCTTTGAGTGTAAACACATTGGTTCTTACACAGAATAAACATTTATTCTTTTACTTGCAAGAAGGAACTTCCCAGCATTTCTTTAACGTAAAATAAATAGCTAAACTGTTTTAATAAGTGCTGCAACAAAAGCAATTTAAATAGTGTCAGTATACTTGTTAAATATACTTTTTAAACATTCTAGCACTCTGGCACTGGTGGAGCAGCAGCTGGCAAGAAGAACAGAACGTGGAAGAATCTGAAACAAATCCTTTCTTCAGAAAGAACACTGCCATGGCAATTAAATGATCCAAGCTGTAAGCTCTTTAGATTTTTCCTACATATTTATAAATAACAGCTTTCTAGAAAATACTTGGAAACTGTTTTTCCATTGTGAGATATATTGTGACCAAGTAGATTTCAGCAAAGGGGAATACTTACTTAGCATGAACAGAAGCATAATTGGAGTGACATGGAATTGTACTATACATATTCCCTTCCTTCACAAGTTTCCATATCTTAAAAAAGAATTAAAATACATTGAAATATGGAAAAATATTTACAGCCATCAATTCAAAAGATACAATTACCACAGATAACTGTTGTGACCCAGCTCCCCAAACACGACAAACCCTCTGTAGTTGAAGCAATGATTCCTTTATTAGGAGTGCCAGGAACCTCAGCAAAAAGTTTTTCTCTTACAGCAGGCTAACAAGTCTGTCTGGCACGGAGATGAATAGTTGTCTGCCATATCTATTCACCTCCGTCCCCTGCCTTTTATCCCCAGAGCTAGGATGGGGCTTTGCTAGCAGCGGTGCCGAAGAATCCCGAGGATCGGTATTTGCACTTCAGGCACTGGACCCAGCTGTTCCTCCTCTTCCTCATCAGCCACCTCCAGAGTGGGAGGTGTTGACTTTCCATCTGAGGGCTGACGGATGGCCCAGGCTCCACCTCTGTCTGTCTCTCTGACAGCTCCATTTCCTCTTCTCCCTCGGAGTTCTCAGGTTGCCTTGATTCTGACCTGACTCCCACTCCTCCTCATCTGATTCGGCTGCTGGAGGGACTGGAGGCCAATAGGCCACAACAATAACTATTTCTAAAAGGAGCATACCTAATGACTTAGAAATGCTTTAAACTTAAAAAAATGTCCCAAAAGCATCTGAAGAAAAATGTAAAAAACATGGTTACAATATGAATAAATGAATAGCTCAAACAGTTCAAGAGAAAAGTAACATCTTGTTTTCCGTTTAAATGGTTACATTACTTCTAGGTCATTGATTTAAGTAATACTGGTATGTAATTTAAAAATTATTGAATTTAAGATTATTCTTTCCTCTTCCCCCAACAGAAATTATACCTTATTTGTCATAATAAATGTTTTTTTGAGCTCATCTTAGAAGGGAATATCTAAAACTGTCTGATTTCAAGACTATTTGTACCGTAGAACTATCACTCCAACTATAATAGTTGCCGTCATCTTATTTTCTGTTATCATGCTAAAAAAATGGGGTGGGGTGGTGGCTCAGTAGTTAAGATTCTAGACTTGTCAGCTGGAAAACCGGCAGTCCAGATTCAAGACCTGAGTAGCACACAACAGGGTGAGTTCCCGTTTTCACCCCAGCTCCTTCCAATTTAGCAGTTCGAAAGGATGCAAATCCGAGTAGATAAATAAGTACCACTTTTGTGGGAAGGAAATAGCACTCTGTGATGTCATGATGGCCACATGACCACAGAAATGTTTTCAGACAGCACTGGCTCAAGAGCCTTCAGATAAGCACTTCCCCCCCCATAGTAAAATCTACTTTACTAGTAGAGTAAAATCTGCAGGGACTCCTTTTAATAAAAAAAGTACTGAAAACACATTTGGTGATGCACTGATACAAAAGCAGGTATATATCATAGTTGAAAAGAATGCACTTCAATGTAAGTGATGCATGTTGGCTCTAAATATCTAGATTGTACCTAGCTAGTAGAGTCTAATTCCAAAAGGATGGTTATAATCATGATTGGTAGTTCAGCAGAAACAATACTGTAGATAAACTTTTTCTGAAAATATTTTGTTTGTTTTGTTTTTAATTTTCATAATTAAGGGAACTGTGCACTAAAGCAGAATCTTAATGTCATACTGAAATACACTCTTATTGATGGGAGAAAAAACTGTAGGTTGGGTTTTTGTAGGACTAAGGGAACTCTGCTATTAACAATCGTAATAACAACACAATTTGACCTATCCAAAAATAAGATTCCCATTTTATCCTGAAAAATATTATCATAATAAATTCCTGTGACTATACTTAGTTATCTCCATCTGTTTTGTCAGATAAGAGTACCAATAATGTCTTTAATTACTTTTATTTCTTCTCATTTCAGAAAAATGATCATCACATCTTTCTCAAAATTATTGCTTTTCTGGGAAAAGATTGTGATAGAAATTTCTTAGTGAAATAAATTTGCCCTCTCTGATAAGGAAAAAACCTAATTATCTGTTTCAGATTATAATAATTACCAATTAAAGTAGCAATTATCATAATGCAATTTTAGGGAGTAGAAAATGCCAGTATTCATCTGGCTACAGTGTTACTTTGAATGGAAGACTTGATTTTGAAGCAGTGGCCCCAATCAGTCCATGAAATACACCCTTTTTCATCCTTTTCTAAGTGCTTATGTTGCTTTTGCTAAAGTTTGTTTTTGTTTTTGTTCTCATTTGGATGGTTTTAATTTCTTGAGAGAACCATTTCTGCCTATGCAGTATTAGTTTTTTAAAATCCTGTCTTATTAATCAGCTTATTGATGCCCTGCATTTGGTATTGTATTTTTTATAAAGTGTTATATTGTTTGGCATTATATATTTTATTGAACATTTTGTAATTCTGAGTAATTTTCAGAAGAGACATTCTCTGCATGGAAATCACTTGTTAAGAAGAATAAGAGTCCATAATTTGAACATATTGTAATTTGAATTGCTACTGTGTTTCCCCCGAAAATAAGACCCTGTCTTATATTTTTTTGAACCCTGAAATAAGCGCTTGGCCTTATTGCCATGCGCTCAAAAGCCCGATTGGGCTTATTATCAGGGGATGTCTTATTTTGGGGGAAACAGGGTACTTAACTGATATTTTACAATTTAATTTAAATGAATACTTCAAATTTCAAAAGCGAATTCTTAGCATTAGAATCTTAATTACATGTCCTTGCTTGGATAGGATACTGCCTGTATATTTGTGGTGATTGGAAATAATGATGGCATTAGATTAAACATTTCAATGTAAATTGCCTAAGAATTGGAGGCCAGCCAGGTCTGTATCGAAATAATGAATTTAATTTCTTTTTAATTTCTTTTCCTCCAGACTTCAGTATTGATGCTCTTACTTCATTTAAACCAGTCAAAAAATATTCTGATATTTCAGGACTGCCTGTAAGTATTTTAAACTTATTTTAGAATTTAACTTTTCTCTGTATTGGTCTAAACACTTCCACTGTTGTTTAATAGTTATCTAACAAAATAATTTCAAACAAAATCAGACTGAAAATAGAAGCTATACAACCTTGGAGGTGTAATACCATTTGCCCCAGCTCTTGCCAATCTAGCAGTTTGAAAACATGTAAATAGGTACTGCTTTGGCGGGAAGTTACTGTTTTCCATATTTTGATGCTGGCCACATGATGATGGAAGTGTCTTTTGGACAATGCAAGTTCCTTTGACTGAGAATCGGAGATGAGCACCGCCCCCTTGAGTCAGTCACAACTGGACAGGGGAAACCTTTAAACCTTTAATTTAAACCAACATTGAAATCCCAGATTAGAAGAGTACTACAGCCTTATTTCTATGCTTTCCAGCTGAAAAGTATTTGTGAAATAAATCATAACATTTTAGTGTTGAAAATCACTGTGAGGATCAACTGATCCAACTCTCTGCAATATGGGAAAAAAATAGTTAAACATACAGGAGAGGAGACTGTACAGCTTCTTGTTAAAATTCTAGACTTTGTTTTACTTTTGTTTTTCTTCTATAATTTAAAACTGAAAACTTCCAAATGTTACTTAGGAACAATTTTTAGTCATCCTGATAGATTGTTAATTGCATTTTAAGGATATAGACATTCTCTCTAAATCTAATCTACTTCTTAGGATTGTTGTGACATAAAACTCAAGAGAGATTCATGTATAAGCTGCTTTGAGCACCTGGAGAAAACATGAGAAAGAAATCTTAATAAATTAGGTGTACAGTATCTGGTAATCAGCCCTATTTTCATTTACGTCAAGTTCCCAGGTAGATTATAACCTGGCCTCATAACAGAAACTTAGCATTTGCAGATAAAATGAAAAGCAATCATAGTTTACTTTACATTCTGGAACTAATAAAAGCATAGCACAGGTATCCCTTTCTTTATCTAGATCCCTTTACTACTATTGAGCCATGTACCTTTTATTCAGGGGTGAAATGTAAAATTTGTTACTACCGGTTCTGTGGGCGTGGCTTGGTGGGTAATATGACTGGGTGGGCATGGCCAGGTTTTTTTTAAAAAAAAAACTTTTCAAAGCATTTTTTCTAATGCTTTGAAAAGCCTCTGCCGATCAGGCAACTCAGCTGGGATCGTCAGAGTGGCTTTTTTAAAAATGCTTTGAAAAGCCTCTCTGACGATCAGGCAACTCAGCTGGGATCGTCAGAGACTTTTCAAAGCATTTTTTTTACCACCTCTTCGGCCAAGAGGTTGCAGAAAAAATGCTTTGAAAAGCTTCTGACGATCCCAGCTGAGCCACGCGATCAACAGAGGCTTTTTTTTTACTTTTAAAAGCATTTTTTCGTCGGAAGAGGTTGTAGAAAAAAATGCTTTTAAAAGAAAAAAAAAAGCCTCTAATGATCATGCGGCTCAGCTGGGCATGGTGGGGAGGGGCGCACAGGGATTTTTGCTACCGGTTCTCCAAACCACCCGTCACCATCGCTACCACATCGGGTGATCTGGTCCGAACCGGGAGCAGTTCACCCCTGCTTTTATTCTACATTTGTGCTTTTGGGTTTTCCTGCCTAAGTCACGATCTTGCTTTTCTCACCACTGAACTGCATCTGGCCCAATGCTCAAGTCTTCTTAATCTTGAGTCTATCTTCCAAAGTATTGGCTTGGTGTCATTTCCAAATTTGATGAGTAATATATCCCCTCATCTAGATATATCTTTAGGAAAACATTGAAGAGGATTGGGCACAAGACAGAACCTTGATGTACTGCACTGCATGTAGATGTAGTTCCATTAAGGACTACATGTTGATTGTGGTTGGTCAGCCAAGTGTGAATCTATCTGATAATGGTATTGTCTTTTGTTCTATTTTACAACAAGTAGATTGTGGTCTACCATGACAAATACCTTACTGAAGTCCAAGTATAGCATATCCACAGCATTTTCCTGGTTCATTAATTTAGTCACTTTATCATAGAAGAATATAAGTTTTGTCTAGCATGATCTGTTTTTAACAAACTCATGCTGGTTTTCAATAATTGGCTTGTTCATTTCTAGTGGTTCACAAATCCACTGCTTAATTCCCTTTTCCAGGATTTTTTCAGGTATTGATCTCAACCTGATTAATCTATAGTTTCCTGGATCCACATTTTGCCCTTTTTGAATATTGGAATTACATCAGCTCTTTTTCAGTCCTCTGGCAGTTCCCTATGCTCCAGGAACTCTGGAATATTTTGTTTAATTGTTCTGAGATTACATCTGCCAGCTCCTTCAGTAACCTCGAATGTAAACCATTTGGTACTGAATATTTGAACACATCCACAACAGATAGGTGTTCTCTTCTCAATTTCTTGCCTATTTTTGACCTGCATTTCTATTCTGTCTCCCACAGTGCTGCTTTTGATAGGTAAAACTATTTTTTCCTTTTACATAAAGACAAATGCAAAAAAGGAATTAAGCAATTCTCTTTTCTCCCTGCTGCCTGTCAACTTGCCATCTTCTCCCATAGTGAATCAACTATTACCTTGATTTTCTTCTTGCTTCCTTCTATATTGGGAAAAACATTTTTTTCAGTTATTTTTGGCATTTGTTGCAAGTCTTAGTTCATCCATTCTGAGCCTTAACCTTCCTGATCCCGTCTTTGCAGATTCAGATTATTTGTTGGCATTCTGCTCTGTTATATGCCCCTCTTTCCATTTTCTATACTTATCTTTTTTTGTCTTTCAGTTTGTTAGAGAGCTGTTTGGCTAACATTCCAATTTCACCTGGGAGTGTCTTGTTTATATGTCTCTATGATATTGTTTTTATTTGAGCCTTTATTTTCTCATTTTTTCAAAGTACCCGAAGCATCACTTACTGGTTTTCCCTCTAAGATATCTATCCATGGAATCCTTCCTATTCTCTTTCTTAGTTTCTTGAAGAAAGCTCTCTTAAAGTCTAAAACACTAGTCTGACTTTGTTCAATTATCTGTCCCTGCGTTATGGCGAATTCTAATATGACATGGTCCTCTCCCCCAAAGTTCCTGCAACTTCAACTCTTCCAATCATTTTGTCTTAGTAGTAAGAATTAAGTCTAGTGTAGCTGATCCTATGATACCTTCCTCAAACCTTTGGAAAAGAAAATTGTCAGCTAGAAACCTGTTTGATCTTCCACTCCAGGCAGAGTTAGTTTCCCTGTTGATGTCAGGGTATTTAAAATCCCTTATTACTATAGTGATGTGTTTCTTGCATATCTCAGTTAACTGATTTGTGAAAATTTCATCTATTTCTTCAGCTTGGTTGGATGGCCTGTAGTACACACTTACAGCAATGTCATTCCCCCCGCACCTAATATTCAAGATGGCTTTCATCCTTGGCATTGTATATTACTGTAGAGATATAGTAGTTCTTTATACATATTGCAAGTCCTCCTCCTCTTTTGGTGGACTTGTTTCTTTTGAATAATTTATGTCCTTCTAGCAGTATATTCCAATCATGGACTCCATCCCTCCATATTTCAGTAATAGCTACAATATCCTACCTGCCCTCAAGTTCTCCCTGTTTGCTCCCTGTACTGTGAGCATTAGTATACAGATATCTGAGCTCTTTATAGCGGACCCTGTGTTTGGTTCCTGCATCTCCTATTTCATGTCTGAGTGCCCCTTCCTTCTCATCTCCCAGTTCTTCATTGTCTGATTTGTTGTCTTGGAATTTGTGCTTTGGGTTTTGTCTTAAAAACTGATCTCTGTTTTCCAATCCCCTTCTTCCAGGTATTTGTGAGGTGACTATCACTTGCCAGAAGCCCTTCCTGTAAGCAGTGTAAACCATGTTCCAGAAATGCAAAGTTCTCTCAATGGCACCATCTCTTGAACCAGTGATTTACCTCTAAAATCTTCTGTTCCCTCATTGCGTGTTGAACTTCTGTTGGAAGTACATATGAAAATACCACCTGTGTTCTTAACTCTTTTGCCTTCTTGCCCAGTTACTCATAGTCCCTGTTATGTTTTTCAGGCTCTTTTTTGTTGTGTCATTCATCCCAACATAAAAGAGGAGAAAGGGATAATAAACAGGGGACTTGATTATTTGGGGAAATCCCTCTTTTGCATCTTTGACCTTTGCATATGGAGGACAACGTAACTCCCTTGATAGATTATCTGGTCTATAAGTTGCTGTTTCTATTACTCTGAGAAATGAGTCACCAATCATCACCATTCATCTGTTTCTTTTTGAGGAACTAAGCAAACTCCTCTTTTTTGTAACAGTCTGAGCTACTTTTCTTCCTGTCACTGGAATACTTGATGAACTTGATGGATCCTTTCAAAGAGATATGGAGTTGTCAGTTGCTTTTGTCCTCTTTTAGAAACTTCACCAATTTCTCTGGAGTTAAGAATTTTGCAAAATAATATTTCCTGTAGGGTGCTTAAATATTTATAAAATAATACATGAAGTCCTTGAAATTAATTGTAAGTAATCCTCCTGTTGAAAAGTTGTGTTGATTGGAAAATAAACAGATGTTAAGAGGTGACTGGAGGGCTGGCCACAGGAAACGAAAAGAACAAAGGATTACTCTTAAAATGACCCATTATTACAGTGGAGCCACACTATTTGGCTATAGGAGGAATTAAGGCAGTTAGGAACAATTTACTAAGAAGTTACTTACAAGATTATTTGATATTAATAAAGAACAACAGATTTTATTGGCTAAAACAGAGACTGAGACTGATTGTCACAGAGACTAAGACTGATTGTCACAGAGACTAAGACTGATTGTCACAGATCTCACAGGGAGAGATCTGCAGCAGGTAGCCAGAGCCTCTTTCACCCCTGAGGCCAGAGGTGGTATTCAGCTGGTTCGGACCAATTCGGGAGAACTGGTAGTGGTGACCTGTGGGTGAGGGTGGGCCTGCCCATCTGCCCGGGCGCAATCCTGTCCTATATCGCTGTGTTTTTGACGCTGCACACGTGCGGATGGTACGCGTGAGC